AAAACTGTAAAAAGCACCATCCTTCGGATGAGACGTTAAACCGAGGTCCTGACTCTCTGTGGTCACTAAAAATCCTGTGGCACTTCTGGTAAAGAGTAGGGGTCCTGGCCAAATTCCCTCCACTGGCCTTTGTCAATCATGGCCTCCTAATAATCCCCATCCACTGAATTGGCTCTCTCTCTCCTCTCCACCTGTAGCTGGTGTGTGGTGAGCGCACTGGTGCCGTTGTACTGTGGCTGCCGTTGCATCATCCAAGTGGATGCTGGCTGTCAGGTATTCAGAATACGATTTACAGTGGAGAACAAAGCTTTAGTATTACTACCTCTAGACTCAATTAGATGTGGATGAAAATCATATTTGGCAGCAGAAAGAGAATCTTTATAAAGAAGAACATGCTCTTTATACAGCTCTCGATGTACCATAAGACCAGTTTGTTTATAAAAGCGTTCCAAGCACCGTCCTCTAGTTTTTAGCTGACGGAGGTCAGGAGTAAACCAGGGAGCAGAGTGGGTGAATGATACAGTCCGAGTTTTGAAAGGTGCAAAAGTGTCTTGTCTTTGCTCAAGAAACATTATGTCTATAAAGGCTTTTAATTTAAAAGGCTATAAATGTTTTATGCATGTTTGAAGAGGGTAGAAGAGATAGCATTTGCCGTCAAGGTGTAGCAAATATACTTTGTACCTTTAAATATCCTGTGCATAGCGGTTCATCTTTTATATCATGAGATTCTGGCCAAATGTATTAAACAAAAAGAAAATCTGAGCTCCCATATAGCTACAATAAACTTTATGTTGATGAAAATGTAATGTGATGCACTTACTGCTTCAGATACGGCTGTTCTAATGACAGACAAAACACACATTGCCATCGTTCGTTGGTCAAAAACCTCATAAGTCCATTTGAGCACGATTTTCATAAAATGTTAAGAGCAAGTGTCTGATCATATATAAAGCCAAAATACCAACTCACTATATAAAAAAATAAATAAATAAAAATCCTTTTCTATCTTTTTTTTTTTTTTGGCTATATATCAGTGCTTAGTGGTGTACCATGGGATTTTTTACTTATCAAAACTGCCACAACAGAAAAAAGTTTGGGAAACACTGCACTATCACCCTGCAGCCCAAAACTGGTTGCCCACTGAAGCTAAGCAGGGTTGAGCTGGTCAGTACCTGGATGGGAGACCTCCTGGGAAAACTAGGTTGCTGCTGGAAGAGGTGTTAGTGAAGCCAGCAGGGGGTGCTCACCCTGTGGTCTGCGTGGGTGCTAATACCCCAGTATAGTGATGCGAACACAAAACTGTAAAAAGCACCATCCTTCGGATGAGACGTTAAACCGAGGTCCTGACTCTCTGTGGTCACTAAAAATCCTGTGGCACTTCTGGTAAAGAGTAGGGGTCCTGGCCAAATTCCCTCCACTGGCCTTTGTCAATCATGGCCTCCTAATAATCCCCATCCACTGAATTGGCTCTCTCTCTCCTCTCCACCTGTAGCTGGTGTGTGGTGAGCGCACTGGTGCCGTTGTACTGTGGCTGCCGTTGCATCATCCAAGTGGATGCTACACACTGGTGGTGTTTGAGGAGAAACGCCCTCAAATTATAGTAAAGTGCTTTGGGTGTACAGAAATACACAATAAAGCGCTATATAAAAATGCCTCATTCATTCATAGTGACTGATTGAGGACCACCAGAGTTACAGCTAACATTAAGTTTATTTATTTATGCGCACATTTAACAATACTGGGTTACATGCCCACTCTGCGTTTGTCTTGTCTGGTTTTATTGCAGTGTTTTACACAGATAAAACATCTTGGCTGGACATTGTATCATCTTACAATATATTAACCAAGTTAGGTTGATGAGGTAATCTGCCTCTTCTGAAGCTAGTTGGGCTAATATTTCTAGCCAGTCTTATGTGTGTTTACATCACATAGGCTACTAAACTGATCAGATAACTGGTATTATGCGTTTTGTAAAATAAATGTAAACCCGTCACTTTTAGCAAATATCTACACTTTGTCCATCCTCTTTGTTGTATGATTCTGTCCATGACAGAGCCAATATATTATTATTTAAAGTGCCCCTATTATGCCATTTTTAAGGTTCCTAATATTGTTTTAGGAGTCTCTTACAATAGGTTTACATGCATGCAAGGTCAAAAAACACTTTCGTTTTCTCAAAACATGCATTTAACATCACCTTGTTTCCCAGCGATTATCAAATGATTAGTTGAAAGCAGTTCTAAGATTCAGTCTCTCTAAACCCCTCCTTTCCCTGAGTCTACTCTGCTGATTGGTCAGATGGCCCGGTCTGTTGTGATTGGTCGACCGTGTACAGCGCATGTCAGAAATGATAAGCCCATTGCCATAGTTCTGTATTTTGAACTCCCGATAAAAATGATAAATATCTATTATTTATTATACTTACAGGCTGTGATTCAGTGGAGCCAGGTGGTCCAAATAAACTAGGTTCTGAGCCAGCTTTCAAGAGCAAGCGTTTGTGAATCCCTCATTGAACTCCCCGAGATTAGAGAAGCAGTTGTAAGGAATTTAACTCATTTAAATTCGATAAGGGAATTAATCATTAATTTTATTTCTAGCTCAGGTTTTGAGAGGAATCGAATCTGAAAATTCGAGGTCCACCTGATTAAAACTGAATTCCAATATGATAGTTTACACTTTAAATTAACGGTCATCCAGCGAGCCGTTGACCTCAGTATATTTGAACAATTTGAATATTTGTATTTCCCTGGCCACGGACGTTCCAATACGTTCTTTGATAAGTAAGCTACGAGCTAGGTAGCAATGATCTTGGCAAGGTTTCACTTTAAAATGTCACGACACCAGACATTGCTTCTTTATAAATGAAAACAAGAATTTATTAGTTATTATAGATTACATTAAAACTAAGCTAAAACACACATACACACACATATACAGTTCAGAAGAATGAAGGAAATTAGTTAACGGAGTTGCATGAAGTTTTCTTGGTTCTAACACTCGTTTCCATGAGTGGTTTTAAATTCAGCCTGAGAGAATTCACAAAGCAGAGATTTTCTTATCTTTACTGCTTAACTCAATTCACCAGTTCAGCACCCATTTCAGCAGATGTAAGATTTGTTTGTACTTGCGTTTGCTGAAATCTGAGAAGCGGAGAGTTTTCCTCGTTGCCTGAGGGAGTCCCGGCTTTTGATTGGTTGCTGGTCGGGCGTCTGGCTGACGTGGTTTCTGGGAATTCCTTTGCTGATTGGCTGTTGATCTGACGTTTGGGTGACATCCTTTTGGGGAAGCCCTCGTTGGATTGGTTGGTTGCCGGGTTACAGAGGAGCCTCTGGTTCTTCTGAGAGAGTCGGCTTTAGCAAGACTTTGCATTCTGCAGAGTTACGAAGCTTCAACGGAGTAGTTGAGTTCTTAGATGGTCGATCGCCTGATGGTTCAGCTTGTGAGCACAAATTAGAGTGCTCTCCACACGGCGACAAAGCCTTGCTCGAGAAAGCAAGTGGCAAAGAGCCTGCGTTCGGGAGAGCAAGTGGCAAAAGCCTTCACTCGAGAGAGTAAACAGCGAGAAGCAAATGAATCTGCCTTGCAGTGGGGTTTTGATCCGTGGCATACGTCCAACCTATGGCGCAATCTTCCAATCAGCTTCTTGCAAGACGGAGCGTGCATACATTAACAAGAAGCTTCAATTCTCTGAAGCCTCATCTTTCGCAAGTGTAAATAGAACAAATTTACTTTCACAGCGTAGGACACAGCATCTTCTCGACATGATGGTAACCACACAAACAAGCTGCAGTGTTTGAGGGTGTTGTCAAGCTGTTTGCGGAGGGCCAACGTTCAACATAGACGGGTATTGTGCAAATGTGTTACCCTGTAATGTGTAGCCTTCACAGAAGTGGGAATCGAATTACTGACGACTCGTTTCAGCTGTTCAGAGTCTGTTCTTTCTTTTGTGAGAAAATAACTTTATTTATTGTGCACTTTCAACTTTGCAGATCCTTTACGTTAACATACATAAAGGATTAACGGTATGCTATTTCCAGCTTGAAATCAGGTAACGTTATCCCTTTTAAAGTTTAGGGGGCATGAAGAGCGCTAATTGATCATTTATTATCAGTTAGGTAACTACCTCAGTGAATCATAAGGACTGTTTAAATAAATATCTGTACAATTATTAGCTACTAGGGTATGCATTAAAATATATTTGATTGCATTTTCAGATAAATTTGTTAAAATATTTATTAAAGAAGAAGAAGACACAGAATGCTAAGGAAGATGACAGTCAGGTATTTAGTATAGCTAGGCTGAGATGTTTAAGTTGAGCTATGCCTAATGAGACGAATATACTGTAGTGAAAATACTGTCCAATTCAATATTGTCCAAAGTGGAGAACTGAGCTCCACATGTCAAATGCAGTCAGTGAAGGTGAACACACATACAGAATAGGGAGCATTCTGAGGTTGTCATCTAGTCCTAAATAGGAACCGATCTTTGGAGAAGTTGTTCATTTATTCCCAAAAGTGGGCTAAAATATTGTGGTGGTTTTTGTACGGGATGGTAAACATTGTAAACATTCCTTTTGGTGTGTCAGATTCCCAACCCTGTGATATTCAGTTTTTTTGGATGACCAGATCTACATCAATCCAAGATACACATTTTTGAAATAAGTAAATAATAAGAAGGTGGTGTTATATGCCACCATGTTGCCTAATGATGCCTAATAATGAAATAGAAAAAGAACAGTTTTGTCCAGTGTTGGATATTTACTTATTTACTGCTGGTTTTTATTGCTATATTTGCAAAATCATTAACACGGTGAATGTGCCCAAATTAACAAGTGTTGTCCTAAAACTGTAAGAATTCAACACACTTTGTGTCCTTTTTAACACATCTTTTCTGAGAGCATTCATGCATCTGTGTGAACAATATTCAGTGTACAAATGCTTCCTTTAAATGAGTGTGTGAATGTGTTTGTATGCATAGTTTCTGTAAAACTTTTTTCTCACCACTGTCTCGTGACAAGGGAAGCTCATCCAGTCCGGTATGTTCAGGAAGCTCTGAGAGACTCTCGTCCACACGCCGTACACTTTGCAAGCTCATGGACAGGCGCTTTTTCATTATCTTCATGCGGTCCATCAGAACTTCACTCTGCCCGCAACCTAAAGGATACTTTGGGTTCAGGTCACATATGCACATTCAATAGCTGCATCTTATAGAACATCATGCTGTGCTATTTTATGAGAATTTAAATGCAGTACTATGCAAAAAAATCATACATGTAATGTCACTGAGCAGGGCTAAAGAGGTTTGGGATTTCTAAGCAAACACATGCTAAATCTTAGACATAAGCGTGTTTGTGAAATCAAGCAAAGTGCAAAGACCATTTGTGTTTTAGCAGAACTGTAGCTTCAAGGGACATATTTGATTTTTTTGATGTTTGAAGTTTTGCTGTGTCACAATGCAATACGTTGTGGCTCTAAGATATAATTTTAAGGCCACAAGGCTTTGTCAACATAATGGCATCTTTATATCATGTCCACACAGTGTGAAGTCATGGCCTCAAGATCCTGTCAGTGTGCTGAGACAATGTGCAGATTAATGGGTTGATGTTCTAAAAAAATTATTTAGCAACTCCCTGAGCTAGGGCTGTCAAATTTTTTTTTTTCGAATTTAGAATATTTGTCGAATTTAAAATAAAAATCCACATTCGAATGCAAAAACGTTGCATACGAATTTTAGGTGTGCGTTAAGGAGGCAGCCTTATCAGCGGCGCACGAGATACGATGACAATGTAAGTGTCATTGCATTTTATTGTTTTTGTTAGCCTATCCAGTTGAAGCCACTAGATTGTAGCATTGTTAATTACAAATATTGCGTGAAAAGAGAACATCAATGTGGAGAAGATCTTGTTTACGTCAAAATTGAAACCAAGCCGTTCACTCAGAACGCATATTTCGCGCATTTTCTAGAGGGACATCTATCACAGTTGCACTCGCGTCTCACACAAAAGAAGCTGCATGTTTAGAAAGCCATGTAAAATTAATGCAAGTTCAACTTTGAAAAAACATATCTCGAGAATTTATGGCGGGTTTTTTCCCCATCCCACTGCAACTTGTTTTTTTTAAAGATTTATTTTTGGCTTTTTTGCCTTTTATTGATAGGATAGTAGTGAGACAGGAAGCAAAGTGGGAGAGAAAGGGGGGATGGGATCAGGAAAGCTCGAGCCGGGACTCAAACACGGGACGCCCAAAGCACAATGGCGCTACATGTCGACGCGCTGCCCACGAGGCTATTGGTGACGACTCAACTCATGTTTGCATACATGCTGTTTTGTTTATAGTTGTTTAAGCAACTTAATTATAATTGGTTTATAAACATTATTTTAAACATTATGCACTTTTTTTCACAGATAGTCATGTCATCTTATGCTTTGAATAAACGTGCATTAGTAATATTTTGCTCGATGCGCCCTCTTGTGGCCTCAGGAGAGAAGCCAAAAGCTTTTCTTAACTCTAACTAAAATTATGCATTTTTAATGTGAATATAATTCGAATTTTGATCATATTTAAGTAAAAAATTTGAATTTCGTTTTTCAGCCATTTTGACAGCCCTACCCTGAGCTTGGCTGTCATTCCCGTCTGCTTCAAATCCACCACCATCATACAGGTTCCAGAAAAGTTCACTGTGACCTACATCAATGTCTAGTGCCCTGTGGCACTCACACCAATAATTATGCAGTGTTTCAAGAGGCTAATAATGAGAGACACACTGTCCACGCTGACCACCTCTCTGGACTCTCTCCAATTTGCATACCGACCCAACCGCTCTTCTGACGCTACCATGTTCTTTGCCCTTCACCTGTCCTTTTCACACCTGGAGAGGGACAGTTATGTCAGAATGCTGTTCATAGACTTTAGTTCAGCATTAAACACAATCAATCCTCAGAACCTCACAGAGAAACTGAGCTCATTCGACATCAGCACCTCCCTTCGTAACTGTATCCTGAACAACAATCTGTCTCTTGAATGTTGACAAAACAAAATAAATAATCCATTGATTTCAGGAAGTCCCACAGCATCGACCTTCCACTGCACATCAATGTGTCTCCTATAGAGACAGTCAGGTGCAACAAAGTTCTGGGTCTGCACATCACAGACAATCTAACTTGGTCCCTCAGTACCACTTCACTGGCCAAGAAAGCACAGAAATGTCTCCACTTTTTGCAGCGGCTAAGAAGGGCAAGCCTTCTTCCATTCAGACCATGTTTTACAGAGGAACCATTGAGAGCATATTAACTTCATGCATCACTGTTTGGTTTGGCAGCTGGAATGCTTCGCAAGGCCCTGCTATGCATTGTAAGAACTGCAGAGAGAATTACTGGAACTTCTCTCCCAACCATTTCAGACATTTATCAAACACGCTGTGTGTACAAGGCCCGCAGCATCACAAAATATCCCACCCAGTCCTCCCACAAACTCTTTGCTCTTCTCCCATCCCACAATAAGTTCCATACCATACAGATCATCACAAAAAGATTGTGCAATAGTTTCTTTCCACAAACTATTCCCTAACACCATCCACCTTAAGGAGAAAGACTGTTGCACTGAGGCTAACTGCAATAACTACATAAGCATTTACACTACAGCCAGTACTTGGCACCACAACTCTATTTTCATCAGTATAATATGACATTTTATTAATACTTCTTACTATGTACTGTGTCAGTAAATTGCTATAACAAAAATTGACACAATATTGACTGTTTTTGCTCAATTTCGCTGATTAAAATTGTTCCAATCAAAGCCAAAGCAGAATTGTTGTGTCTCCCCGATAGGGATGGGTATCGTTTACATTTTATCGATATTGTTATCGATACTATTTGGTGCAAAAAGATATGAAGTGAAAAGTTGATGAAAATTTGAAAAAGTTATTTTATTACTGATGAACTTTAGCAACTGTATTAAAGTTCTTCAGTCAAGAGCAGCAAGTTATTTTTCCCATTTTATTTTATTAACATTAAAGGAATAGTTCATCCAAAAATGAAAATTGTGTCATCATTTACTCACTCTCAAGTTGTTTTAAACCTGAATGAGTTTCTTCTGTTATTTTGAAGAATGTGGGAAACCAAAAAGTTGCTAGTCCCACATTCTTCAAAATAACTTTTTATGTGTTACACAAGAAGAAATAAAAAATAATACATGTTTGGTACAACATGACTGAGTAAATAATGACAGAATTTTAAATTTTGGGTGAACTATCCCTTTAATGACAAGCAGCAGCATGTTTATGTCAGGATCATGGACTGATGCAAACACACACCGCACATGTGCATGGACATCACACACACGTCGTGCAAACGTCGGTCACATCAGTCAGTGAAGGAAAATGACAAGCAACAGCTTCTAATTCGTTGTTAAATATATGGAGATAAAACAACGCAAGTATCGATAACATTATCGTTTGTCCTGAAGCTTATTGGTAGTCCAGTATTGACCCGATTACGTACCGGTCCAAAAAAATACCGTTCTCGGTACCCATCCCTAGTCTCCGAGCAACACACAGTGGGGTTTCATTACTTAATAAATCCACGTTTTTGAACGAATCAAGTGAGTCAATGATTCATAACCAATTCGTAAAGACTTGCCTTGTTACTTGCCTCGTTTCTAAATGAATTAGCCATTTGAACAAATCGGTTGAATGAATGAATGACTAAATGACTCACTCATTAAAACCTACTGGTGGTTTGGTTTCATGTTTAAAAGTATCATTGCATTTTTTTCTCAACATTTCTTATGTCACAATCTGTATTGTTAAAAGCGCTATATAAATAAAGGTGACTTGACTTGACTTGACTTATTTGTATGTTCAAAGATATTTAACACAATATTATAACATTATTTATGCATTTGCAATTTTGCTGTGTAAATGCGTTTATGGCACCTCTCAACTTCATCAAACAGACTGTAAACATCTAATGCCACTTCAGATGCAGCTTCTGTTTCCTCTGCATTTGAATGATAACAACTCTACAGTTTCTTATTATTGTAACTGAATTAATTGAAACAATGTAAGAATTTGATTTGAAAGATGACACATTTAATACTGTTAGGGAAAAAAAATACCATTTATAAACAGTATGAAATGGCATTTGTTTTGTTATATACAGCAACTAATTTTCAGTTAATTGTTATTTCTACCTCTTTCCAGTCACAGAGCACTTTATTTAGAGAGATGTTTAAGTGAGAGAACATCTGAAACCTAGTCCAGATTGGGGGAAATTGTAATGTTTAATCATTTCTTTTAGTGCATAAATATATATATATATAATTTATTTGTATTTATTTTTTTGCATTGAAAACAAAAAAGTAGATTTTTGTTTGTATATGCTGTCAATTATAGTTCTTAGAAAGAAAATCGGAATCTGCTAAAATCTGTATTGGCAGGTCACACTTACAAAAAAAATCCAAAATCGGAATCGGCCAAAAAAATAATAAAAATCGGTGCATATATATATATATATACTGAATAAAATTATAAATGCAACACTTTTGTTTTTGCCCCCATTTTTCATGAGCTGAACTCAAAGATCTAAGACTTTTTCTATGTACACAAAAGGCCTATTTCTCTCAAATATTAAAGATATATTAAGATATATTAAATCTGTGTTAGTGAGCGCTTCTCCTTTGCCGAGATAATCCATCCACCTCACAGGTGTGGCATATCAAGATGCTAATTAGACAGCATGATTATTGCACAGGTGTGCCTTAGGCTGGCCACAATAAAAGG